GAGAGCAACGTGGGTTGCATGGCTTACAAGGGAGGAAAGGGCCCCGATCCCCTTCACAAGATACACCTGGAGCTGGAATTTAAAAGGAGAGGCAAATGGGAGGGGCGGTTGTCGGGAACAAACACTGAGCTCATGTGCGTGTTGACTGCTTTATCTGAGTTCCTGACATCCTCCCATCTGGCTTAATTTATGGCTGTGCTACTTCAATTCTGGAATTCCTTATCTTGCTTGCCCTGCCGGATTAATTACGTTTTCTTGCCCTGTTGGATTTATGGTTGGAAATTTTGTCTGCTTACAGGTTTGTGGAAGGGTTTTACTCCAGACCGGAGAGTAAAGGGATGCTGGGGCCAATGTTTGGACCTAATAAAGGGACTTGTACTTATTTTCTGGCTGTGTTGCCTTTGTGCCACGCCCTGGGTCATCACACCCAGGCTATTACCATTCTGCATTGCGCATTTGCCTTTGTGGTCTTGGAACCACTTGTCATTATCTAATGCTGCCTTAGGAATCTTCTCTATATCCTTGTCTATGTGGGGCTTCATTTTTGCTTGCACCCGGATTGTTACTGGTGCTGCAAGATGGATTGACTGTTCTGATCATTTCTGGCTTAGAGCTGTTACATTGCAGCTCTCTGGACAAAGCATCTGCTAGGAAATTTTTCCCTCCTGGGAGGTACCGTAAGGTGAAATTGAAAGTGTTAAAACATTGAGCCCAGCTGATCTGCTTGGGTGACAGCCTCCAGGGGGCTTTAGGGCTTCCAAGTTCTTATGATCAGTCCACACCTCAAAAGGTGTTTTATCCCCTTCCAGGAAATGCCTCCAAGTTAGGAGGGCCCAGGACACCACATAAGCCTCCTTTTTCACAGACTGCCCACCGCTGTTCAGTCTCGCTTACTTTTTTGGAAGTATAGGGACACGGTTGTAGTGCACCCTATTCATTGCATTGCAAGAGCACTGCCCCCACAGCCACATCTCTAGCATTTGCCTGAATAATAAATGGGCCGTGAGGGTCTCGGTGTTTTAATATTGGCTAAGCTGCAAACAGGCATTTAAGCTTCTTCAACGTCATTTAGCATTCCATTGTGAATAGAATAGAATAGAATAGAATAGAATAGAATAGAATAGAATAGAAATAGAATAGAATAGATAGAATAGAATAGAATAGAATAGAATAGAATAGAATAGAATAGAATTTAGAAGGGACCTTGGAGTCCAGCCCCCTGATCAAGCAGGAGAACCTATACCATTTCAGACAAGTGATTGACGAGTCTCTTCTTGAAAACCTCCAGTGATGGAGCGCCTACGATTTCTGGAGGCAAGCTATTGAATTGGTTAATTGTCCTCACAATTAGGAAGTTTCTCCTTAATTCAAGGTTGCTTCTCTCTTTGATTAGTTTCCAACCAGTATTTCTTGTCCTGCCCTCTGGTGCTTTGGAAAATAATTTGGCTCCCTCTTCTTTGTGGCAACCCCTCAAATATTGGAATACTGCTATCATGTCACCCTTAATTCTTCTTTTCTTTAGACTGGCCAATTGACTGAAACTAGCTAGTTCAGTGGCTGGCTGGGCTTTTGCAACAAAATGAACAGGATGCCCTACAACCATGTGCCTATACCACTGTCACAGAGGAGACTTTTGGCACGATGCACTGCACTGCCTTGGAATATTTCTACCACAACTGATAACAGCCCTACCCTTTATGTCAACTGCTTAAAGAAGACGCTGCTCCACAATGAGGACCCTCAAAAAATGAAGCTATCAAAGATGTGAAATTTAACCCAAAGCTCAATGCTGGCATTCTAAAATGTCAATGGACGCAGAGACTGTAGTGTAGGCAGGAGGGGGGCAGGATGGTTATTTCTGTGATGATAAAAAAAGAAATACTGAGAAAATACCAATGCAGAGCCCAGCAACACTAAATGCAGAGAACTGAAGACGAGCTGTCGCAGGGCCATGACCCAGTCAAAACTTGTTTAAGAAGGCAGCAGGCTGTGAGGTTTGCCTTTAAGAAGAACCACGGCCAATCCGCTGCCATCGCAGTTACCTTGGTTAACAACAGTAATTGGGACTGGAATTTCTGTCGCTAAATGATGCAGTCATAAAGCCCAACAGAACATGATTGCATCACTCAGCAACAGGAATCCCAGCCCTGGGTTGCTGTTGTTTAACAAGGATTGTGGGTCATTGAGTGAGTCCAGGGGATTGGCAAGCAGGCAGGTGAATGGCTGCTACAGGTGAGGGAGAGGGTGAGCATCTTACCAGAGTGACTCACATCTTCCCTGCCAGTTTTGCTTGAGGGAAGCCAGAAGGAAGGTTGCAAAAGACAATCCTAGGATCGTCATAAATTGAGTCTACTGTCAAGTGCCTAAATCACGATCATAGTGATGCAGCAAGTAAGTGAAGACTCCCCTGCTTAAAAACCACCATGGCTAGATCGTAGTCTCATTAAGAAGTCATAACAGGCATTGCCACACAATTAACGGGGGAGGGGGGAGAGAGATTGAACTGTTTACAAGGCAATATTACTCGTATTGCAATTAGCTCTCGTTGTGCAGAAGGCCACTGGGAAGCAGGAGGGGGGGGGATGCAAACTGATAGGTGAATTCAAGCAAAGGAAGATCACTTTATTTGTTTGTGTGTGTTTTTTTTCCTTTATTAAATTATAGAGCAAGGCGGCCTCTAAGTCCTGCCAATGCAGCCCCAGGCTGACTGCCACGATCTCCGGAACAAACATGGCCGTTCCCTGGCCTGATTTGTGCAAGGGCACATTCGTTGTGCAACTTTGTCCATTGTTATCACCATCATGGGACACAGGCTTGAGCAAGATTGTCTCCTGGCCGAAGGGCAAGTTAAATTAGATGGCCAAAAAGGATGATCAGAAGCAGGACCTCAACGGAAGCGAGTGCGAGGCAGCCAGGGCCAAGAGGCCCAATTAGTATGCGCAGAAGACCTTCGTGCTCCATCCAGAAACGGGGTCAGGCAACTGCTCAAGATGTGGAGAATTGATCCCACCACAGGGCAGCCTTCACCTCCAGCCCCAGAGAGTCCCTTGTCTTGATGCAGGAAGCTTGTTTGCTGCACATGAACTGGGCCTGACTGGTCTAGTGAAGAGAAGGACCAGGGAAGACATGATAGCAGTCTTCCAATATTTGAGAGGTGGCCACAGAGAGGAGGGGTGGGTCAAGCTATTTTCCAAGGCACCTGAAGGCCAGACAAGGAATCATGGATGGAAACTGATCTAGGAGAGATTCAACCTAGAAATTTATTTATTTATTTGTTTCCATTTCTATACCGCCCTTCTCCAAATAAGGAGAAATAAGGAGGGATTTTGTGACAGTGAGAGCAATCAACCCATGGAACAGAAGTTGCCTTCGGAAGTTGTGGGAGCTTCATCCCTGGAGGCTTTCAAGAAGAGACTGGACTGCTATCTGTCAGAGATGGTGTGGGGTCTCCCGCCTGGGCGGGGGGTTGGACTAGATGACCTACAAGGTCCCTTCCAACTCTGTTAATCTGTTAAAACATGGCCGAGGGGAATAGTCTATGCAGGTGGGAGCTGCCACAACTTGAGCGCAGAATCATTCCAGGTGCTCTTACAGGTGACCACAGGGTGACTTCAGAGTTGGAAATCGGGAACATCCATTATTTGGTTTGTCATTATTTTTGTTTTTGTGGATTATGACTCCAAGTAGACAGATGTTACCTGCACAGCAAAAGCTGATCCCATCTGTGGTGAGGACGGAGACAGAAGGAGAGAAGTTACAACCAGGGGAAGCAGCTCAAGCTTGCGAGCAACTTAGAGATTTGTGTTATTAAAAATAAAACTGCACTTGCTTGCTGGAAGGTTTCTGGCCAGGTACTCAAACCAACCACGGTGGCCTTTGCTAGGCCTGGGGCTGGTCCAGCTGCACTCAGGTGGCTCGGGGGTGAGGGAGGAGGTGTGGGAGGGGGGGCGAGGTAAGCCTGGCTTTGCTTTCAGCCTCCTTAACCGAATTTCAGTTGAATTTTAGAGAGATTGTCAAATTTTGCTGTCTCCTCAAGGGATTAATCCTGTTACAACAACAATATCAATTTAAGTAAAGGAATCAATATTAAGCAGACAAACAGCTCTGCTGGAAAACTAGGAGTATGTGATGGGGGTGATAATCCAGAAGGAGCCTGGCCAGCAGGGGATGGACTGACGTGATGTTCACAAGGAGTGCATGCGTGTGTATGTAGGCATGCATGCATGCATGTATGTAAGTATGTACGTATGTATGTACGTATGTATGTATGTTTACAGTATGTTAAATTCAGCCCACCTCAGGCAACCCAGTGTAAAATATAAAACCCAAGATGCACAGCCCACACAACCATCGGCTAAGAATTGCATGAGTTGTACCAGGTGTGACTGGGAATTATCGGCAATGTGGCCCCAGCAACCGCAAGACCTTTACAGCTGGGAGTGATTTAGAGGTCCAGCTCTGTCTGTATGTCAGAGCTTTCTGTCTAATTTTATTGGACTCTTTTAAAATAATTATGATGGATTCTCCAGGAGAAGAGTTTAAATTTTTGAGTGGGGAATCAACAGCTAAATGAATTCTGTACAAAGGTTTGGGATGCTTCCCACCTTCAGTGGTGGCTGCAGGTCTGTTTTCTCTGTCTGTCCTTGCTGGTGGGGCACAGGATGACTCCGCACAATTCCCGGGGGCTGCCAAAGGGGAGAGAGGCGGGTGGTAATGTCAAGGAGACCCTCCTTGTACAGAGAGCTCACCTTGAACGGCTGGGCTGGCTTGGAGCTCAGCCACCTTGGTTAATAAGCAGGCATGGCAACCACTTGTTCAGGGTTGTAAAATGGCCTGGGAGGATGGATGGTGGCTCCGCATCCTTTTTCTCCACTTCTGGAGCCAGGCTGAGGGACTGCGTTGTCCCGAGAGGCAGAGGCCTTCACAGCCCTGGCTGGTCTGGTCCAGCATCCTGGTGCTTCTGAGAATCTTACATTCCCACCCCCCTCTTTTCCCCTCAGGGACCTTCCGAGGAATCTGCAAGCAGATCAATCATTTCCCAGAAGATGCTGATTATGAACAGGATGCGGCTGAGTATCTCTTGCGTAAGTTCAGGGATCCTGATGGGGCAAGAGGTGGTGACTCAGTCAGGAAAGGCTGTCTCACCCACATGTGGGGCAACCACACCGTGGGCCCCATTGGGGGGGGGAAGTCAAATTGGGGTGTGCCCAAATCCTGTTTTGAAAGAGGGGCCCAACTCTTTTCTAAGCACTGCATTCATTCTAAAGCAGTAAAATACTGTAACTACTGAAGATTACCTTCGTTCCTAATTTTTGTTAGAGCAGTTTTCCAATATTTGAGGGGCTGCCATGAAGAATAGGGTGTCAACCACTAGAAGGCAGGAAAAGAAGCAGCGGACGGAAACTAATGAAGGAGAGAAGCAACCTAGAACTAAGGAGAAATTTCCTGACACTGAGAACAATTAATCAGTGGAAAGGCTTCCTTTTGGAAGTTGTGGGTACTCCAACACTGGAGATGTTAAAGAAGAGATTGGATAACCATTTGTCTGGAATGGTATAGGGCAGGGGTCCCCAACCCCCTGGGCCACGGCCCATTACCAGGCTGTGGCTTATTTGCAACTGGGCTGCATGAACAGCGGGCTGGCGCACACACACAAGAGCATGGAGCTCAACTTGTAGTCAAGCTGTGTGTGCATTGTGGGACTCGAGTTGTGCGCACATACGTGTGTGCCGGCCCGCCACTCACGCGGCCCAGTTCCCCTCTCCCTCGCCACCAGCCAGGCCATCAAGCCGCAAAGGTTGGGGACAGCTGGTATAGGTTAGGTTAGAAGATCTCCAAAGTCCCTTCCAACTCTGTTATTCTGTTAGAGCAGATAATCCAAATAGTGTCTCTTCTCTAGCCTTTCTCTCAAACCCAGCACAGGTGATGTGCTGATACCTCAAAGTGGCTGGGTTGTTCTGCTGAAAGAGAGAGCAGACAGTCTGACTTCTCCATGCAGGGAGAGTGCCTGGAAAAATCAAGGTGGTAGCCGTCATCGAAGTCTCTGTGCATGTATGACACCTGCAAAATGGGCTTTAACTGCACAGTCCCAGCTGTCCTCTTGGCCCCTCTGCAGAGGCTGCTGCCACCCTGGGATAGTCTCCGGCCTTCCTGGGCCAGCTGCAACTGCCCTCTCCAGGCCCCAACCCTCTCCTTGTCTCCCTCCAGGTGCTGTAAGAGCCTCCAGCATCTTCCCCCTCCTCAGCGTGGGTCTCCTGTTCTTCGGAGGACTCTGCGTGGCGGCCAGTGAGTTTTACAAGAGCAAACTCAACGTCATCCTGAGCGCAGGCATCTTTTTCGTCTCCGCAGGTGAGTTCCATTTTTACCCAATTCACCAGGTTTGACACCAGCCTGGATCGGGGCCATGAAATACGCTTGCAACATTAAGTACTCTGATTTCATATTGGAGCATTTTCCATATAGATATAATAGAAGTGGATTACAAAACAGTACACAGATAAGATACAGAAGGGGAGAAAACAAGGCTCACTCATTAATGACTTGTTTTAACAAGCCACAATATTTGTTTTCGTGCTTTACAGTAAGTCATAATTTATTTCGACCATGGTTTATCACCTAAGCCACAGCTGGCTGTTCTTAGCACTAAACATTCCTTTTATGCATGTTACACGTTTAATCACGGGCTTCCACACCTTCAAGGTCACATCCATGGAACATCATCTTATCTGCATAACTGAAATCCATCTTGCATTTTTCCTGTTGCTCCTCTCATTCCAAATCTGAACCTTTGTGGCCTTTTAAAAAGAAAAATCAGATACAATCTTTTAAAAAACAGATTTGGGAGATGCTAGCCCACCCTGGCCTTAGAGTGTCTCACCCGTTGCCTATTCTTGTTCCTCTTGATGTTTGTTTGTTTGTCTGTTTGTTTGTTTGTTTGTTTTGTCAAGCATATATAAGATAACAGGTAAAAGTATAAACATAATTTGAATACTAGGAATATTAGGACAAGGACGGTAGGCATGCTGGTGCACTTATGCACGCCCCTTACAGACCTCTTAGGAATGGGGTGAGGTCAACAGTAGACAGTTTAAGGTTAAAGTTTTGGGGGTTTGGGGAAGAAACCTCAGAGTCAGGTAGTGCATTCCAGGCATTGACCACTCTGTTACTGAAATCATATTATCTGCAATCGAGTTTGGAGCGGTTTACCTTGAGTTTGTATATTATTTGCTCTTGTATTGTTGTGGTTGAAGCAGAAGTAGTCATTGACAGGAAGGACATTGTGGCAGATAATTTTATGTACTATGCTTAGGTCAGACTGAAGTTGGCATAGTTGTCACTTATTTATTTATTATATTTCTATACCGCCTTTCTCCCGTAGGACTCAAGGCAGTGTACAGTCAAGAAAAATATAGACACACAAACATCATAAAATTGCTAATTAAAATTATTACTTAGTTTGATCAATTAAATAAAAACCCAGAATTAGATAACATTTAAAAATCATTCACATGTTCATATGTTTAGCCCCGCCTGTTGGAACATCAGGGTCTTGAGGGCACGGCGGAAAGCACGGAGATCAGGGATATTCCATATCTCCAGGGGCAGTTCATTCCAAAGGGTTGGAGCCCCCACAGAGAAGGCCCTCCCCCTGGGAGTCGCCAGTCGACATAATTTGACTGACGGTACCCTGAGTAGTCCCTCCCTGTGAGAACGAACTGGTCGGTGGGAGGCTATTGGTGGCAAAAGGTACGTAGGTACCCAGGTCCTAAGGTCTCGTAGGTACCCAGGTCCTAAGCCATGGAGCGCTTTAAAGGTGATAACTAACACCTTGAATTGCACCCGGAAGACCACCGGGAGCCAGTGCAGCTCGCGTAGGAGAGGTGTTACATGGGCGTAACGAGCTGCGCCCATAATCACCCGCGCGGCTACGTTCTGGACCAGTTGGAGCCTCTGGGTGCTTTTCAAGGGGAGCCCCATGTAGAGAGCATTACAGTAGTCCATACGGGAGGTGCGCAAGGCGTCCCGATCCAGAAAGGGACGCAACTGGCGGATCAGGCGAACCTGATAAAAGGCACCCCTGGCCACGGCCGTCAAATGATCTTCTAAAGATAGCCGTGAATCCAGGAGGACACCCAAGTTGCGGGCCCTCTCTGTGGGGAGCAAGATCTCATCCCCTATTGTCAGTGATGGTACCAGCTGACTATACCGAGACGCCGGAAGCCACATCCACTCGGTCTTGGAGGGGTTGAGTCTGAGCTTGTTTCTCCCCATCCAGATCCACACGGCCTCCAGGCAATGGGACATCACAGCAAGGGCATCATTGGGGTGGTCTGGGGTGGAGATGTATAGCTGTGTGTCATCAGCATACTGATGAACACTCACCCCGAAACCACGGATGATCTCGCCTAGCGGTTTTACATAAATGTTGAACAGAAGGGGTGAGAGGCCTGACCCTTGCGGCACCCCACAAATAAGGTGCCTCGAGGTCGACCTCTGCCCCCCTGCCAACACAAACTGCGAACGGTCAGAGAGGAAGGAGGAGAACCACCGAAGCACGGTGCCCCCATTCCTAACCCCTCCAGCCGGTGCAGTAAGATACCATGGTCGATGGTATCAAAAGCCGCTGAGAGATCTAATAGGACCAGGATAGAGGAGCAACCTCTGTCCCGAGCCCTCCAGAGATCATCCACCAACGTGACCAATGCCGTTTCCGTGCTGTATCGTGACCTGAAGCCCGACTGGAACGGATCCAGATAGACAACTTCATCCAGGTATCGGGATAGTTGTCGCGCCACCACACTCTCAACAACCTTCGCAACAAAGCGAAGATTGGAGACTGGACGATAATTTGATAATATAGCCGGGTCCAGGGAAGGCTTCTTGAGGAGGGGCTTCACAACCGCCTCTTTCAAGGCGGCGGGAAAGACACCCTCACTCAGAGAAGCATTTATAATCCCCTGGAGCCAGCCTCGTGTAACCTCCCGGGTGGCCAGTACCAACCAGGAGGGACACGGGTCCAATAAACATGTGGCAGCATTAAGCTTGCCCAGAATCCTGTCCACGTCCTCAGGAGTCACAGAGTCAAACTCTTCCCAGATAACACTCTCAAGACCTGCCCCCGTCTCCTCCCCTGGATCTACCCAATCGGAGTCCAGGCCTTCCCGAATCTGAGCTTGAATTTTTATTTATTTATTTATCATGTTAAAGAACTACCCAGCTCTCTCATAGAGCGATTATGGGTGGTGACCATTGCTAATACAATACTGAAAACAAAAGGCTAAAGAGATCCAATTGCTTCTTTGGTTCTGAGGGATGAACTTCCCTCTCCATGAGGGATCTGTTGCTGCCCTTCGGAGGTTTGCACAAGACAGATCCAGACCATATCTACCATAGGTTGACCTCCCTCCCAGGGTCAAAAAATAACCAGGAAATATAGTTCTCCTGAGTTCTGGCATCACAACAGAAGCACTTTGTGGAGTCTCCTCCATTGCCAAGAAAGTCTGGATGAAGGAGGATGATCCTAAATAGAGCCAGGCCTTGTCTTGATCCAGAAATACCAGGCATCCTGGTTTCAGGCTTGAACACCTTGCTGATTGCATTCTGCCACTCTAAGTGGTGAAGCATATGGATTACATAATGGACATTTGTAAATTCACCGGAAACCCTACAGGCCTATTTATAATACTGACACTAGAAAGGTGTCTGCAGTTTATCTGGGTAAGTTGTGGCTGGGGGGATACTAAGTCCAGTATCTTAAGGTTGCCAGGGTTGAAAAACACTGATCAAGAGCAGAGGTCTTCAAACTTGGCAGCTTTAAGACTTGTGGACCAACTCCCAGAATTCTCAGCCAGCATAGCTGGCTGGAGAATTCTGGGAGTTGAAGTCCACAAGTCTTAAAGCTGCTAAGTTTGAAGACCTCTGATCAAGAGCATCAGAAAGATAGCGACGAAAGTGACAGCAGATGCTGAGCTGGATCGTATTCCTTTTCAGACTCCAGAGACCCAACTGACGTTGCCTTGCTCTCTGCTCTTCCTTTCAGGGCTCAGCAACATCATTGGGATCATCGTTTACATCTCGGCCAACGCGGGAGACCCCGGGCAGAGTGACTCCAAGAAGAGCTATTCCTACGGGTGGTCCTTCTATTTTGGTGCCCTCTCCTTCATCATTGCCGAGATGGTTGGTGTCGTTGCTGTCCACATGTACATCGAGAAGCACCGTCAGATCCGGGCCAAGTCTCACTCCGTGGCCCTCCTGAAGAAGTCCACCTTTGCCCGCCTGCCCACCTATCGGTACCGATTCCGACGGCGATCCAGCTCCCGCTCCACAGAGCCGCGGTCGAGGGACCTGTCTCCCATCGGCAAAGGCTTTAACACCATCCCGTCCACTGACATCTCCATGTTCACTCTTTCCAGGGATCCTTCCAAGGTGACTATTGGGACTTTGCTGAACTCAGAGAGAGATCACGGTTTTTTACAGATTCACAACTCCCTCCCCAAAGAGTTCAAGGAATCTTTGCATAACAACCCCGCCAACAGACGAACAACTCCTGTCTGAGCCCAACCTGTCCCTGGATGGCCTTGGATCAGACCGCTGGAGATGCCGTGTGTACAGAGATGTATCATTGAGACTGCATGTGTGACCCACCCTCCCCTTCAATGGCGTAACCAGCAAAACCCTGTTTCTAAAGAGTAACCCTCGCTGTGCTCCCTGTCCACGGGCAGCCTAGATCTGAACCGGATGCCGTTTAGGGTGTCACATCCTAAACTGCCAGTTGTTTGGCTGAGTGATTGTGGCCTGGGTCTGAATGCATGGGGGCCCCTCAAGAACCCGTCCTCTTTGCTCGGTTGCCAAGATGGAATACCGGGCTTGGCCTCGTGCCAAGGGGACCTTGGGAACGATTCTGAGGGTGACCGCTTGGAGGCCCATCAAGAAGGTGGAAAGTGGTGCTGGGCCCCCATGGCTCTTCCTCCCCCTGCCCTCCCCCTCCATCACCATGAAAACAGCCTTGGACTGTGGTCTCAATCCAGACGTAGCATCTGGGAACAAATCCAAGCATGAAAACGCGAAGCTGAGTGCTTCCGAAAGACTTGGGCGATGCCCCCCTCCTTCCTTTCTGGATGCCCCGAAGGAGGCAGGCTCTGGGGGTGAGGCTGTCTGTTCTTGTGTGCATGCATTAAACAGCCTGGAATCCAATTCCCTCCCACGATGCAGGAAGAGAGGTGGCTCTGAGCTGTCTTGGTGGGCTTTGGAAGGGCTCTGTATTCTCTTGCATATTCAACACTCTTTGTCAAGGTGTCAGGGGCAGAAATGCCCTCTCCCCTCCATTCCTGCCAAAGTTCTCCCAGCGGACGAGCATTTAATGTCACCCTTGGTTCAAGAATCTGAAAAGATGGCTCTGTATCTAGGTAGATGTTTTGCCACACATCTGCTTTTTCAGGTTTAACATTCGTGTACCGCCTATGCCGTGGGATGATCTGAAGCACTTGAGATGTTAAAAGGGAAACCAATAAAACCCCATTGAATCAGTCTTTGTGTTTGAACGACTCTTTGTGTAAGGAAAGAAGGACCTGATGGGACAAGGGGAATCATGTGAAGTCAGGGAAGAGAAGTGGCACGAAGGGGAAGGAGACTATTTCAAAAAGGCCCAAAGAATAACAAAGTTGGAAGAGACCTTGGAGGTCTTCTAGTCCAACTCTCTGCTCAAGCAGGAGACCCTATACCATTCCAGGCAAATGGCTATCCAGTCTCTTGTTGAAAGCCTCCAGTGATGGAGCGCCCACAATTTCTTGAAGCAAGCCGTTCCACTGATTCATTGTCCTCACTGTCAGGAAGTTTCTCCTTAGTTCCAGGTTGCTTCTCTCCTTGATGAGTTTCCATCCATTGCTTCTTGTCCTGCCTTTAGATGCTTTGTAAAATTAGTTGACCCCCCCTTTTTTGTGGCAGGCCCTCAAAGAAGCGGAGGGGGTCAGCCTATTTTCCAAAGCATCAGAATAAACTTGAATTCTGTTGCAGTCTATCTGGGAAATCAAATTTGCAGAGTGTAGTTTTTTTTCAGCTTTGGCTGTATCTAACTCGATGACGAGAGTGGCCAAGAATAGCAACAGGGCTTTCATGCAGAGAAGAACAACTGAGGAACATCTATTTTCCTTGGTATTCCACACTGTTTTGGGTAGCAGCCTTCTGAGGATGAAGGGCTGGGGGCTTCAACAGGGGTCTTTGAGCTGGTTCTGCATTCTTCCATCTGGATTCTTCTTTTGATTCTAGAAGAACCTTGAAACCTTCTCGCTTGCACTAAAAAAATAGATTGTCATTTCTCTCTCTGAATCTTCTCAGGAGCAGGAAAAGACAGAAGGGAAAGTAGTTCAATCTGAATTTTAATAGAAGTGCCCAGTTCACACCTTTAGAAAATCTTTAGAAGGGAAATCAAATGCACCTGTGCACCGAAATTCATCCTTTCCTGAAGTGAGAAGATAAAAAGTACATTTTGTACAATATGTACACAAAAAAACGCAAATCTGTTGAAGTACCTAAAAGCACACAGAATTTGGGGGGAAAGGCCAAGAAAACCTGTATTTTTTCTGCATCTTGATTGTATGCTTAGTGGCCTGGAATGCTTTGGAAGATAAGACCTATCCCGTCAGGTTTCCTTGCCACCTGCTAGGAGATCAGCCAGATCTAAAAAGATCTAGTAGAAGTGACATTCTAAATATTTCTCTCTGATTCCTGTGAAGGGAAACTGAGGGAGGGACCATGGATAATCTGAAAAGCTAATTTTTGGATGGCCCACCCATAACCATTCTTGCAAACATCTTTTAGCCAATACAAAGGAAGTTCAATTTTATACCTTACAGCATTATGATCCCCCAAGCGAGCCTTTCTGTAGACGAGGCAAAAAGCTTCCCAATCCACCCTCTTTATCTATCATCCTTGACCAGGAAGACAACTGAATGGCCACTGGCACAAAGAAGCAAAAGGTGGACAGAGTGGAGGATTAGGTGGTTGGTTGGTTGGTTGGTTGGTTGGCTAATTTCTTTGAAGCTTGGAAAGAAACAGCTGGGGCCACCGTGAACTGGCATGAATAAACCCTGCTTGGCTTTTCTGGGGAAATGTGCTCCTTTCTGCTTCAGAGTACAGTAGAAGCAAATGATGAATAAAGAGTGTGCCTACACCGAGCTGAAGCCCAGGTGGAATTTTTATCCACCTGGATAAAAATTTATGAGAAGCTCAGTTTTCTTTGACAGGCATTAACCAGGAGGAAGCTGGAAGCCCCTTTTCAGGCTAAGAAAGTGAATTAAAGTGTATTAAAAGGCAGAAGGTGTGAGCTACAGATCGCAAAAGTGTCTGCCTTTTAATAAAGACTTGTTTGTTTTCTATACCAGGGATCTCCAACCTTAGCAACTTTAAGACTTGTGGACTTCAACTCCTGCCAACTCTGGGAGTTGAAGTCCACAAGTCTTAAAGTTGCCAAGGTTGGAGACCCCTGTTCTATACCACCATCTCACCTAGATGACTCCTGGCAGTTTATCCTTTAGATCTCGCTTACGCCAAAGAGGGATTCATGAAACCAAGTGGTTCTCCTGATTCCCATTACTAGAAGGAACACGAGTCACAGTTGTTCAGATTAGACTTGTTTGTCTGAACAGGGGCTACCAGGTTCCTCCTGAGTTTTGACTACCACGCAATAACATGGCTATCCTCCTACATGTCTACCTGATAAGCGTATATCCATTTTATAGGTTAATTTTTTATTAATATGCACCTTCCTCCAATAGACAAAATCAGAGTGAGGTACTGGTCCTTCTGGAAGCAAAGGTCCCCACCCCAAACTGCACACCTGCACCATTGAGAGGCCTCCAGCCCAATCCGGAGGAAATTGCAATGCTTTTTCCTAGAAATCACCAACATCTTCCAGCAACTCTATGCTAAGACAGCCCTTCTGTTTTCCAGCCACTGTCCATCCCCGGCTGAGCCAAGACATCTTCGCAGCCAATGAATCAGGACAGAATACCACCCCTCCACCTCCTTCAGATTGTCCAGTGTCCTTGTCCAGCAGCTCTATTCAAATTACTCAGACCATGTGGAATCAGGTTTCCTGGTGCAACAGAAGGTTTTCTAGGCTCAGGCCCAGATCGAAATGGGTTCTGGATCATTCCTTTACTCCAATAGTGCTTGAAAAAGCGTCACAGCTACCTCTCTCAGCATGATGGCCACGATGTGGGGAAGGGGGAGCACAGATGTCTACTTCAGTTCCTGACACCTTTCATATTCAGAGGTAGAAAGCAAGAGATCTCTTTCCTCTTCTCCTCACTAAGGAGGGTGGACCTTCAGGGAGACAGTGGGCTTCAAATCCAGAATGGGAAGAATTGACGCCGCTAGCTCAATACGGCCAGCAGGGGGCTGCCTTCTCCCTACTGCCGAGTCCTCGCTGCCAACTCGCTGCTGCCATCTCTTTGCAGGACATCTCAACACCGTAAATTTGCTGCGGGGATAACTCTCTGCGGGTGCTGGATGGAGAGTCAGGTGGGCGGGGGGGCGGGCGGACTGTCAGAGGAGGGTAGCAATGGCTTCCCAGTCAAACATTAAGCAATGAGGCTTTAAAAAAAACCTTGCAGGTGGCAGGGGCTTCCCATTTTGACACCCCACACCCACTCGGTTTCCATCTGGCACAGCCCTGCCCATCACTGCCCTCCTCTGAGAGCCCCTCTGAGAGCCCACTCACTCACCAGCCCACCCGTCTCTCCATCCAGTGCCTGCAGCAAGTTATCCCTGCAGCAAATTTACGGTGTTGAGATGTTCTGCAAAGAGATAGTGGCAGCAGGCTGGCAGCGGGGACTTGGCGGTGGTAAGGCGGCCATCTCCTGCTGGCTGCTTCAAGCTAGTGGCATCGAGTTGTCATAGATCTCCCAGCTATATCATGCTTCTCTGGGCTTGTGGGCAGCTGTTGCTAAGTAAAATCTCAAAACCTGGAGTGGCAGAGACATGGCAGGTGCCACCACATGACCTGTCAGAGGTTGACAGGGCTCCCTCCTGCTCCTGGAGCAACACACACGATGCCACCAGTTTGCCTTCAGCAGTTAAAAAATGAAGGCGGACTTTGAGAGACAGCATCATTTGCAACCAAGAGTTTTTGGGATCAAGATCCTGGGTACTTTTAAGACCCACCCACACTGAGGAGGTTTGAGCCACTGCTGAGCAGAAAGGGCTCCTCAGGCCACGCTGGAAAAGAATCAGAGAGCCCACCCACCCACCCCTTACAAAACTCAGCAGAGAAAAGAGTGGAATTGGCTGGACCAGCCAGGACAATCTCAAATTTCCCTTTGAGTCTGAGACTGCAGAATTGTTCCCTGTCCCTTCTGGCCAATGGGCAGCCATGTCCTGAATCCTGCCACGCCCTCACTTCAACTCCATCACACTTTCCCTCCAGTAACCCCATATCCTGCCCTATTTATTTATATGCTGCCCATCTCACTATCAAACGACCCTGGGTGGCTTACAAACATCACAGAAACAGGGGTACAAACATTAAAAAGTTAAATAAACAGAAATAAGTTAAAAGCAGAAGTCAATGGGGTGGGGTGGGATCTTTTTCCTAGCCCACTAATCACCCCCAGTGTGGAGGGTCCCTATTGGGGTCTCAGTTTTAAGGCCCCTTCGGAAGGCCAAGAAGGCCATGCCAGAAAAGACCCTTATCCTGGACCCATGAGATGGAATTCCTTGAGTGACAGGGTCCACAAGCGTGCTCTGTGGGGACCCTTGGCCAGGAGAGAAGGCTGGTGTGGGGCCACTGCAGAGCACTTGCGCTGGAACAAGCAGCCAAAAAGAGACCATGGAGACCGACTGAGTTCTTCTCTCATGCATGAACTCCTCGCAAAAGACCTGCCTGGTCTCCTCTTTCTCCTGCTGTGCCTCCACTGGGCTGCCATTTTCCCAAGCCCGGATACGGAACTGAGGGCAATTCCTGGAGCAACAGGACTGGGGGACTGCATGGAGGCCTTGCAGGGAGCCATGATTGTGGGGGCTTGGAAGAGAGACCCTGGAGGGGTGGGAGAAGCATCTATCAGGCCAGCACTTCAATTTCCTGCCAAGTCAACCAGGAAGGGGCAGAGAGAGCACACACACACACCCTGAGGGATTTCCACAAACACCCTTCGCCATTCAGCCAAAACATAACCTATCAAAACATCCTGATCGGCTCAAGCGTCACCCTTTGGGGCAAAGAGCCCCCTGCCCCCTTTCTCCAGGGAGCCCTTGCCCTAAGATAGGACAGGCCACCTGACACCATTGGACATTTTCACCATAAATGCAGCCGGCCTTTCGTATCATACAGTCTTGTCTTGTGTGTCCTTGGGAAATGCTTAATATGCAAAGCCTATTAATATTAAAGGCCATATTGTGTCCAGCGACAAGTTCGGGCTGCTGATGGTGAAGCATAAAATTAGGAAGTGCTGCCCTGGCTGGCGCAGCCAGTAAGAAGAGCCCCTGGTGGGGGAAGAGATGGGTTGTGCGGGGGAGGGGAAAGAAGGGCCT